ACCGTACTGGCGGTCACTAATCAGCTGGTGATCCTCAAGGTGCCTCATGAGCTGGCAGTTTATAATGGATTCCATTATTTTGGAGAACAATGAGGTGATGGCGATAGGCCTGTAGTTGGACGGGTCTGAGTGGTCGCCTGTTTTAGGGAACGGGTGGACCAAAGCTGTCTTCCATGAATTCGGAATTACGCCTTGGGAGTAGGAGTACCGGAAATGACGCGTTAAAACCGGTGCCAACTCCGGAGTACACGTCTTCAGCACAATGGGAGGGACTCCATCAGGCCCACTCGACTTGCTGACGTCCAGGGAGAAGAGTGCTTTACGAACCGAGCGCTGTGTAAATCGCACATCCGGCATATAGCACTCACACAGCGGGATGGTCGGTGGTGTGTTCCTCCCGTCATTTAGAGTCGAGTTGGACGCAAAGTGAGAGAAACCTAACGGATTGGCTTTCTCCTTTGCGGCATGGGCCAGTGAGTCGTCCTCTCTGTGCAGAGATGGACGAGATGGCTGACAGAAGTCTCCTTGGACAGCCTTGGCGAGAGACCAGAATGCACGGGTTCCCGAAAGAAGGCGAACTAGCTTCTCGCTAATTCTGCCGATGTGCTCAAACCTTGCCTTGGCAATGACGCTTTTGAAGGACCTGGAGGCGGAATTATACTTCTTTGTAAGTGCGCTAGTGTTTACATCCCGAGACGTTGATGCGTCAGCCCAGGCCTGGTAGCACTCCTGCTTATAGCATGATGCTATTTTACAGGAGCGACCAAACCCAGGAGGCACCACAGAGGATGGAATAAAAAGTTCCATACCCTGAAGTACTACATCAGCAACAGAATCGGCAACAACGCTGGGATCTTCCGGCGGGAAGCAAACCTGACCCCAAGAGTAGGATGCAAAAAAATACCGCATCCCGTCCCAATGGGCCGACCTATAGCGCCAAACACGGCGGCAAGCTGCAGATCGCAACTGCGATGGGAGCGTGAGTGGCACCGTACTCCGGATCAGACAATGGTCCGAAGAGCCCAGAGGGGCATTGACGGAGATCTGATATCCGTCCGGATGAGAGGTCAGCAGAAGTTCCAACAGGGAAGGTACATGATCCTCCACATCTGGGATCCGCGTAGGCGAAGTAACCAGTTGTGTTAGACCATATGCCAAGGCAAAGTCAAAGACAGATCTACCCGCATGATCGGTTAAATGGGAACCAAGCCATTCAGCGTGGTGGGCGTTATAATCACCGAGTATCACGATCTCTGCGGATAGGACCAGTTGTAGCACGGAGTCTGCAGCCAATTGGACGTGGTCGACGAGTCGGTCTGTGTCGGCATTACCGCTTTGGGACCTATAGCGGCACCCGTAGACGCGGAGATGGTTGTCGCTGTCTACGCGCAACCATAGAATGGACAGGTCCGTACCTTCAAGACTGCCGAGGCGTCGAAAACAGATGTCCTCTCTGACGTATACGCAAACTCCAGCCCGGGGCACAAAGGAGTGTTCTAATGTGCTCCCCGGGTAGGAGAGATATGAAGTATCAGCAGGAGGGGACACCTGAGTCTCGGTTAAAAAGAGCAAGGCTTCGCCGTCTCTAGATGGTAATGGACAGCGTTAAGGTTGGAATGAAGTCCGGTTTGAGCCGGCCCATCCGTGCGACAGCAAAAGCTGCCGTGTGGCTCTTCCACTGTTATTTTGTCGGCCTATATTATTAACTGTAATATACTTCGTCATTGTTTATGCGTTACACATAGTACTTAGTAGTAAGTAGCTTTGCTGGCCCCAAAAAAGTTTATTGAATTCGAATTTCGAATTGTTCATGAAAATAAAACTGTATACTTTTTAGAATTTTACTCATTTTTAAATATGAAGTGGACGGTTAAAGAAGACTGTGTTGCAGTTATTGCGTTGCATCGTTGCGGTTACGCGCCAATTCAAATTTTTGACATACTTAAAAAATTTGAATATAACCAAAAGATTCGTTTATCGTACCATCAAACGATACAATGAAGACTAGTGTAGATGACAGGTCAAGAAGTGGTCGCCCTCGGTCTGTTAGGACTCCAGCAGTGATAAAAGCTGTGAAGGCGCGAATTCAAAGAAATCCCAAACGTAAGCAGAAACTGTTGGCCCTTCAGATGGGGTTAAGCAGAACCACGGTGAAAAGGGTGTTAAATGGAGACTTAGGGCTTCGGGCATATCGAAGAAAAACAGGACATCGTTTGAATGCTCGTCTAATGGACCTGAGACTGAAGAGATGCCGCGCTTTGTTGAAGCGGTACGCGGGAAAAAATATCGGGAATTTTTTTTTTCGGATGAAAAAAATTTTACCATAGAAGAGAGCTACAACAAACAAAATGATAAGGTGTACGCAGACAGTAGTGAAGAAGCGAGCAACCGTATTCCGCGTGTCCAACGAGGTCATTTTCCATCCTCGCTCATGGTATGATTGGGAGTTTCTTATTGGGGCTTAACAGAGGTACATTTTTGTGAGAAAGGTGTAAAAACGAATGCAGTTGTGTATCAAAATACAGTCCTGACGAACTTTGTGGAACCTGTTTCTCATACCATGTTCAATAACAGGCACTGGGTATTCCAACAAGATTCGGCGCCAGCTCATAGAGCGAAGAGCACGCAAGACTGGCTGGCGGCGCGTGAAATCAACTTCATCCGGCACGAAGACTGGCCCTCCTCCAGTCCAGATTTGAATCCGTTAGATTACAAGATATGGCAACACTTGAAGAAAAAGGCGTGCTCAAAGCCTCATCCCAATTTGGAATCACTTAAGACATCCTTGATTAAGGCAGCCGCCGATATTGACATGGACCTCGTTCGTGCTGCAATAGACGACTGGCCGCGCAGATTGAAGGCCTGTATTCAAAATCACGGCGGTCATTTTGAATAAACTTTAGTGTCATAAGAATCTATGTTTTGTTAAGTTCATTTTGGTATATAAATGGTTACATAATGAATAAACTTGTTTCAATTATTTTATATTAAACATGTGACAGAATTTATGACCTGACTAGGTATATGTCTCGGGAAACCCAACAAGCGTTGCGTGCGACCTGACCGAAGTAGCTCTACGTGTAGTGGAGAGATGGTGCAACGAATATGACTAACCGTTAACCCGAATAAAACGGTTTTAGTAATGTTTCCTCAAAAACGAATGCTGAACAACTATCATCTTCCAAGTCTTTTTTTAGCACAAAACTGCAGCTATCTTCTGGGGTAAAATATTTTATAACTTTGACGCAGTAAGCTCAACTGGAATAAACACAGAAAACTAAATCAACAAACCTAGTATAACCTTCTAGCAATGCGGAAACATGATTGGCAACCGATGGAGTCTGTCGCCCAAAATCGTACTGTGGTAAAACAGAACTATAATTCGGCCTATGATCACATACGGGGCTCTAGTATAGTGGACCTAAACAAATGAAGCTACCACTATAAAGTAGCTTCAGCGATACCAGAGATTGGTCTGCATTGCTGCTACAGGCTGCATAAGGATCACTCCAACAGACTCAGAAGCTAGCCCCGCTTCGCCTACACATACAACAAGAAACTACTTTAGCTACCATCAGACTCAAAATCTTGGAGTAAGACTCGGGTCCTTCATACAGGTATAATTGATAGACTTTTTTTATAGGATAAGAGTAACAAATGAGCACACAGTCCAACTGATGGTAAGTAGTTGCTGTGGCCCATAGACATCTAAATCTATCCTTGACTACGAATCAAAATACAGATGCGTTGTCACCCATGAAGACTAAGATGGAATACCTCGTTTCCAGTACAACAAAATTCAAGCTACAAGTCAAGTATGACAAGTCCCAAAGCAATGTGTTTGTTTTAAGATATAAGATACAATAAAGTGAAAAAAAAATTAAAGTTGACAAATAATTAGGCAAAGTAACACCTGATTCTATTAACAATAAAGTGAAACTAACCAGCTGGAAGGTTTAAACTCAAAAGGATTTAACGAGTTTTCATGGATGGTTCTAAAACAAATGCAGGTACAGAATCAGGAACTTTCTCAGAAGTCTGCAAGATTCATATATGTACACCGCTGGGTGGGTACCCACAGTCACATACGGATATTTTTCAAGCAGCCATAGTAACTATAGTTGCCAGGAAGGTAAAAGACTTCTCCGTCAGAACTGACCGACAGCATGGCCATTCAACAGGCTCAGAGTTGTGATAAACTCGGGGCTAATATATGAAATATGAATGTCATCAATGACTAAATGAGGTATGTAAATGCAATAATGTAACTGAAGAATAGATCAAGGGACAATGATGCAGCACATTAACTGGCCAGGGGAGGATCGGCGCTGTTCGCCACGGGACCGTAACTGATTATACATAATCACTATACTAATCACAACACGCTCAGCTTTGGAAATCTAGAAGACTGTAAGCAAGCTAGGGTGGCCCTACCAGCAATAAAAAACTGTTTAACCAAGATTTTGATGAGACTAAACAAACCACAGATCAGAATAGCATTTTTGCTATAATAGGGCACTGCTCTTTTAACAAACAATTATTTACCATAGGTGTTACACAGTCCCCTGTACAGTACATGCATGAGGGAGGAGTAGTCGGCGGCTCAAGTATAGCCCGCATGTCCAGAAGCCGCCGCATACAGGGCTAAATATTTTGGCACGCCAAGATCACTGCCCAAAGTTGTTGGCAACATTAAAGGACTGCTGAAGTTGAGATTTGATGGCTCGAAAAATTACGATATTCCTGCCCACACAAAAAATACGCGCTTAGATGTTGATTTGTGGAAAATAGTCAGTCATAACCTAAATTAACACACCTGCAATTACACTTTAACTGACATTTCACGACATTTCTTTGTTTACATTTTGGATGTCTAAATAAGAATCAGACTATAGTAATTTTCCTGACAATATAACATTTTTGAAGATTTGGCCATTTTTATGTAACATATGTTACTTCAGTACTGGTTGTGAAAGGTGAATAAAAACAAAACAATATTTAAAAGTTGTAAATATTACAAATTTATAATTACACTTATGACTATAAAATATGGACGGAATATTTTAGACGGATTTAATGAATATAAAATAAAATTATGCACATCTTATAAATATTTGACTGTAGATGATATTTACATGGGGAATATCAGACAAACAGTTTAATACACATACAAAAGTCATTTGGATGGTTCAAAATATAATAAAATAAAATGCTTGCTAATTCATTTAAATGCTGAAACACAATATGTCAATATTGACAAAATTACACTAAGTAAAACTACAAAGGTAAAACTAAAATATACCTTATGTTCAATTACATTTTTTAAATATTTATAATTAGGATCATAAGTATTTATTTCCATAATTGTATATCATATTCAATAAAGAAAATACATAGTAGTTTCTAAAAATCCTTTATCAGTTCTTTATAAGACATCTGGCCATGGGCCTCTGCTTATGTAGGGTGGATTTGTATTGTCATGCTTAACAGGCAAATCAATGATTTCAGTACAAGATGTCTCATACTACTGACCACCACTGATAATTAACATCTCAACAAGATGGTGATTGCTAGATATGTGTGAATCGTAGATGATTAGTTCATTTGACCCAGGTCACATCAAAATATTGATGAATGCAATTACATTTTTTGAATGTTCCAGATCAAACGATTGACAGGACCTACTACCAAAGAGTATAATAATCTCTGATAACCAACATTAGCCGAGTAGGTCTCACAGATCACAGAGTGCTGAAACTCGAAATGATCCATTTGAATATTAATATATTATGATATATTACATAAAATTTTAAACTAATACACATGTCATATTAATACCACAAAAAATAACTATTTGACTTTAGACATTATATTTGGATTGTTTAGTTGTATTTCTTATAACATTTATTATATTCATTTTATAATAACGACCTGTAAGCAACTTAAACAAGCCTAGTTTAATGAAGGTATCAAAGCTTGGAAGAAATTACCCCACTGCCCTAATGTTAGCTTTCAATAACATTACTTATCCTACAAATATTTTTAAATTTATTTTATTACATGTAATGTCCCTTTACAACTAACTTTCTATACCAAATAGCAGAACTGTAATGTAAAAACATAACACAACAATAAAATGGGTGGATATAACACCAGTGTGTGCTTAACATCTTTTTTGTAGGTAATATTACAGAAAAAATAATTAATCTATTAACCTGCTAAGAATAAAGCCTCCCAACAGCAAACTTAGTATTGGTTTGAAGTTACCATTTCCACTCTGAAATAAAGTTTGGTTATTAATATACTTTATTATGTGGAATTATAAAAAGTAATATTAACTAATGAATTCTGTACATGGTAGAGCCATGCTGCAGCTATATTAGTAGTATAGTTGTAGCGCAAATGGGTCGGCTCGACCGGGGAAGGACCACGCTCTCACAGAATACCAGCATAAAATAGCAGCTTAACACTGCTGTGTTTCATATGGTGAGTGTAGAGAACCGAAGACCCTTTTTACTGAAAAAGAGGCATTCCATTTAAGTCCTCACGGGTGACAACGCATCTGCATTTTGATTCACATACGAGGATAAATGTAGATGTCTATGGGCCACAGCAACCACTTACCATCAGGTGGTCAGTGTGCTCGTTTGTCACCCTATACAGTAAAAAAAAAAATAACTTACTATTATGTAGTAATTGCAGCGATCGCCTTGACAGCAATCTGAGCATACCCAATCTTGATACCAAATATGAGTACATAAAGACATATAACGTTCCCTGGTTGTTGCGCATTCTGTTCGATTTGAACAACGTTTTGATACATAATACTGTTTTTTAGCACCTTGCGACCAATATGGTGTACTACCCCATCTAATTTCAGTCAAACAAACGTCTTGACCATAAACACACGTTGCGATAGTTTTAACACATTTTTCATTATTATCTTCCTGGTTTTCACATACATAGCATTCGAGACTATTAACTGAAAGAAAAGTTATAAATTAGTGTTTTAAATTATTAAATTTTCGCGGTACAAGCGAACGCTAAGTAAACAAGTAAAATAAATGATAAAAGTCACCTTTTAGAACCGACATAAAAACTATTGTAAGTGTAAAAAAGGAAATAACATGTCTCTTCATTTTAATTGAAGTTCATAAGTTTTTTAAATTCTTCAAATTAATTAAATTTCTGAGGGTGTGGCAAGCTGTAGAAGTAAACTCTCGCTCTCGCGTAGACAAATCGTTTTTACAAACATGAAGTTTCGTATTTTTTTACATTAACTGTCACTGTCATACAGTTTTTTTTTTTCATTTCTTAGCCTGCACGGTTTGTGCGTCAACCATGCAAAAAGGTTAGGAAGTGTGTTATTGGATTTATTTAATTGAAATTGGAACGGAATTTGGAAAAGGATCAGGTAAATTTAGTATAAAAGTACATAAATGGTTATAATTTTATATTGTTATGAAAAATGAAACTGACTAAAATTCTATATACATCAATATTTATATTAGATAAAAGGATGGAAATTGCAGTAATAAAAGAAATTTTAATGAACAAAAGCGAGGAGATAAAAGCGGAACAGTCATGTAGAGGACAGGCAAAGAATATATGATTAAAATCCCCAACGTCATTGCCACACTCAAATATATCGCTAGATAAAAGGTTAAGCCTTGCCAAATGCAAGGAAATGCATGCATGGCCCAGCCTCATACGAGTAAAGGTCGAAGTGATAGCTTTACCAAACGTCGGATTTGAGAACCACGGTTTAGGAGGAATATCCACCTGGATCGTGCTATAATATCGACTGAAGAGGACATAGGTTACTCGGGCTTCCTTCGAAGGACCAATTAAAAAGGGAACGCGTTTCTTAATCTGGCTGCGAAGGAGCAATTGAAAAGGACAGAGCTAAATCCTGCCTAAGCCGTCTTCTTTATCCAATCTGGCACTCGAAGAACCAATTAAAAAGGGAACGAGGGCTGGTTAGGATCTTTGTCACGGCTCGTTCAACAGCGGACTTCGCTACTTCCTAAGACACCTACGTTGGGTTCGGGAACAACGCATGTGAACCCCGCAACGGAGTAACACACAAGGGCGTCGACCTCTTCCTTTTCTTCAAATAGGTTCAGGCGGGGATTACGGGTCTTCCGAGTTTGTCCCGGTCCCAACGCCTTAATTCTTCAATATGTGCCGCTCCGGCGACACCAGGAGGACTGTACTTGTTTTTAAAGGTGAAGGATCCCTTGGGAATAAAACAGTAATCATCTTCAAACCGCTCCGTGAGAGAGTAATTATTTTCCCTATCACTTCCCTATATGCTTTTCTTTCTTGATTATATTATATACTGGTAGCTGGTCCCGAACGTTTTGCATGTTATCCTGTCTTCCGCATATATGCACTTGTTGCATACTGCAGGTCTCGGGCCTCGGGGCTGACCCCAATACCCGGAATTTCCTCGCGGTCATGGACCTAGAAAAAAGGGCGGACGCCGTCTCTTAAAACAATTACTGATGCACCCATACTAAGTCAGCTCGCTAATACAAACAAGCCGGCACGCACACATGCACACCATAGTAAGTCAACAGCCCGCCATTACGCTCCAAACCGCGTCCGCGTAACATTGTAGTGAAAACCTGTTGAAATCATAGTGGTTCCATTAAAAAAAGCCAGGGGATCACTTTTCATAGGTAAGTAAGTAATTTATTCACCTTATTTCTCATTTTTACTTTAATTTATTTCAAACTTTATTATCAAAACATTTTATTAACAAACAAAAATTATTATCAAAACACGAAACTAATCAGTGTTGCCAGTTATTAAATTTGCAAGTTACCTTAAATATGGGAGATTAATATCTTTTTGTTCACTTTGAATTGTTCCTTAATTCATTAATTTACCTCTGTATATACTTTTGGCGTCCCATGATACTAAAGTACCAATATTATAAATTTTACATTTTATAGATTTCCCTCTGCAGATGATGTGTGGAAGAATGGCTGGGTGCAAATAATAAAAGACTGTAGAAATGAAAACAATTGGAATACATCTAAATCTAGTGTAATCTGCAGTAAACATTTCGAGGAGAATGATTTATAGAGAACAAAAGGTGGACTTCTTCGCGTTGTTACTTACGCCATCCCAAAAAAGATAAAGATCAATGAATATCTATTTTCCTCTTACAATTATAAGCTTAACATATTGAAACGTAATTAATTTTTTAGTTTTTATTTGAGGCGTCAAGCGTTCCGGAGGAACAACTCGTTGAAGCAAATACTTCCAGTGCTTCGCATGGGGTACGTACGTGTTAAGGAGAGAAGTTTTTAATCGATTTGAAAAAAAGGAGGTCAAGAGAGCCAAGTCGACTGAATGTTTTTTGTTTTTTTAAGTTACACCGACAATGTCGAAACGTTTTCGATGATTCTTTTTTAGTTGAATAGGTTATACTACAATGTTTTTCACCGATATGTATTTCTTTTCTTTTAGAAAAGAAATACATCATAAAAGGGATGTATTGCTTTTCTTTTTGAAAATAAATACATCCTTATTTTTGTACTTGCGAGATAGTGATCCGAAAGCATTTAAGAGATAATATAACTATATATACTGAAAGACAACATCAGTACAGGCTTACCAAAATTCTGGAAAAATATATAGCTAACGACAGGATTTTTTTAAATTTAAAACTTGACCATGCGTTTGCTAGAGTAAAACATAAAATAGCTCTCATTGAATATATAGCCGAAAAATATCTGAATATTCGTTTTCACCATATAGCTAAATTGAAGGAGATTTCTAAGTCTTTTGACAGTAAAAGACAATATTATAAAAAATTAACCCAACAAAAGGGACTCTAAAAAAACCGTTAATAAATGTAAATTAATTATAATATTAATAAATATTCATAATCAATATTTTTATATTCAATGTGTTTTATTACAATCTTGTTTTATTAAACTTAAAGTCCTGGTTCCGAGGACGATGACGAATGTCTTAAATCTAATTGAATTATTTTGCGTTTAAAAATGGGTAATTTTTCTTCATCTTGCAACCCTCTACACGCTCACACATAGTTACGCTGCCGTCACTGCGACGCCTCAATTGTTTGTTAGCGAGACTCTGTCCGCCCTTTTTTCTAGGTCCATGCTCGCGGTGCATTACTATGCACCGGTCGTAGGAGCCGATGTGGCATTGTTGGGTGATGCAGCGACACGAGTTTGAGTTCCCGGTCGCTGTAAGTCGGTTTAAAATTCTCTTGCAAATTTTTTTCAGGAGGCGGGTAATATGGCCCGCTCCTGAAAAAGTGGCATAAAATGGCCTTTTTCTTGAAAAAGGCGCCTAATTCAGCCTGAGCCTGAAAAAGACGCCTAATTCGGTCTGAGGTTGTCTGGTTGATTTTCGTCATAAGTCAATATGGCCGGCGGCTAATGCGGCCGGGCGTCTGGGTTGGCCTGTCTGCGGCATTGAGGGTTGTTACTCGACTCTTTAATCTCTATAGAGAGGAGTTCTCTTGGCAGAGGTCACCCGTCCGGTGGTCGAGCATGTAAGGGTGCGAAATTTTGTAAGTGTTCATGTGGCCCGTTATCAGCGCGGTCGAACATACCGCGCGCTAATCGGGCCACGAATTCCTTTATGGTCTCTATCCTTAGGTTCGCCACGATGACGTCGTTCCGGACGTAGCGACCTGCACCGACGATGGTCCGTAGACATAGGTTCTGCTGAACCTACAGCCGCTGCCTCTGCCGTTCGCTCAGGAGTGTGTACCAGGCCGGCGCGGCGTAGGTGATCTTCGTGCGTATGTAAAGTTTATAAATTTTGATCTTGGTTTTCAGTGGTAATTTGGATGCCAGGACTGGACGGAGCATCGCCCGCGCACATCTGGCATTGCGGACGACGATGTCGACGTGCGCGATCATGCGCAACATCCTGTCAATCCGGCACCCAAGGTAGGTCACGGCCTTTTCGTACGCAATCTCCTGGCCTCTAAGCGTCAACGGGGGCGGGAAGTTCCGGTAGCGGCGGGTGAGGAGGGCGGCCGTTTTCCCAACATTTACAGCCATCCTCCACTCATCCAGCCACGGTGGCAGAAGGTCCAGCAGGCGCTGCATCTTGGCGACGGCGAGATGGGGGCTTTTGGACGAGGTGAAGTAGGTGCTATCGTCCGCATATAGCGCCAGCTCTACGTCGTCCTCCCATTCCTGCAGACGTCCAGCCAGTGTTGGTATGTCGTTCGTATAAGCCGCGTACAGGATCGGCGAGAGACAACTGCCCTGTGGTACGCCAGCTCTTATGGTTTTTACTGCGGATTCGGCATCTTCGACACAGACGTAGAAGCTCCGGTCGGCTAGAAACGAGCCACTAGCCGCAGCATAGCCGGAGGGACACTCGTCTGTTGTTCCATCTAATAGAGTAAAGCAGAGTGCCACACCCTGTCGAACGCCTTCTCGATATCGAGGAAGACGCCCAATGATGTACGATCCCGGTTGTATTCGGCCGACAAATGGTGCAGCACTCTGGTCAGCTGTGTTGCTGCGGAGTGTCCGCTCCTGAATCCATGTTGTTCCGCCCGCAGTTTAATACACGGGCGGATTCTTCTTAAGGTAATTCGTACAAATAATTTGGCTATGTGCGGTAGCAGCGTTATCGGTCTGTAACTAGCTGCTCTACGCCTGTCCTTCCCGGGTTTCGGCAGAACTATAACCTTGCCTTTCTTCCAGTCCTCCGCGAAGTGTGAAGTCCGCAGTATGCCATTGTAGAGTCGTCCTAGCTCTACAATGGCTCTATGGGACAGCTGTCGGAGTGCAGCGTTCGTAATCCGGTCGTGCCCCGGCGCCTTCCTCGGTTGCAGGCGGGCAATCGCCCTCCGCATTTCAGCGGGGGAGATGAACCATTCTCCTGCAAGCGGTGGCGCGGGCAACAACAGGAACTCCCGTACGCGGCTCACCTTTAGGGCATGAAGCTCCATGTACTCCGCACTTGCTGGGTTCGGCATAAATTGCTCCTCGAAGTGCTCGACTAGGATATCCGCTCTGCCTTTGGCCTCGTAACAACGTCCGCCCGCGCTGTTGGTCAGCGGGCAGACGGGGGGTCTGGTCTTAGTTAGCTGTCGGTTCAATTGATAGAGCGACGCTTCTTGATCTTCAGCCATCCATATGCGCCGCTCCCAGGCCCTTCCTCTGTAGGCCTGTATTGCAACCGACAGCTCATCCGTCAGTGCGTTCAATTTACATTTGATTCGTGGGCAGCG